CGGTGTTGTCGCTTGCAGATTTCTTAAACTTTTTCTTCAACCCTGAAGATGGGGGCGATACGTTCCTCCGAAACGTCAGTTAACACCACATATACACGGTGCCAAATCCCAGAAGACTGCTTTCTTCAATTTCAGTGTTTGATTGTACTGGAAGCCTTGATTTAAGGAGAGGTAAAGTTTAACTTGTGTTTAATTAAGCACTGCACCATGAATGTCATCATGTGATCATCACTACAAACATTCCTGTGAACAGAATGGTTACATGATGGGAAAGAAATCTAGCAAAATTCCCTAGAGGAAAAAGTATAACAGCTTGAAGGAGATGTGGATTCAGGCCATTCCATGGGCTTCATTTCCACTGCTTCACAATTAGTGACAAGCACTTTGGGCTCGTTGATACAGACCAGATGGGACTGAAGTGGAATAAAACAGGAAAAAGGGGAAAACCTCAAGCACTGACATCCCCACCATCCACAAGATATCCTTCCACAGCCTCAGTATAGATTATAATCGAAATGCTCATATTCTGTTTGTGTGCACGCTCATGAATACCTGAATCCTATGATCTTCTTTGGAGGCTACCTCATTTCACAACTGCTCATTCAGAATTCATTTACACCAGTGTAGCAATATGTGAGTTGTCAATCCCGGATAACAGACACTCCATGCTGCACCAGCTTTTCGCCCACCCTGGTCAGTTCACAAATCAACATGGCTAATTCAATCATATATGGGTACCAGATATTTCTCTTGGCCACCATGTGCAGACTGACTCTGGGGATCATCCAAACTCCTATCCTATGGGTACTGGAAGCTATTTCTGTGGGGTTACAGTAGCTATAACTCCACTTCCCATACATCAACATGGAGTGGTCCTTAATAATGCACAAAGACACATTCATCTCTTATTTATATTTATGTGACATATGTTGTAAACTCCTTCTATAGATCTTTATCATCTGCAGCAGACTAATACATAAGCAACTTGCAATGTCTAACCTTGTTGAAAATATCACGAAGCCTGTCAGTCTTGGCACGCTTTAGGTATCCTGCACTCTGCAACAAAAACAAAGAATCTGTTAGATACATGAATGCCAAGCTTTATTTTATGACTCATAAATCAACCATCATGTGCTGCCAATGAAAATGTGTACAGAATTGTCTGATTTTTGACAACATAAATTAGGTGATAAAGGTGGGTGAGCAAAGGTCACATTCCTACAAATATTTCACAAACAAGGAATGGATGTCATAATAACACTCTTCTCATTCATGTCAGAAACAATTAAATTCTGCATGAAGTAAAAAAAATTCTTGCATCATAAAAATTGACTGATCTCAAAATATGCAGTCAATGAAGGATTAAGATTCTCAAAACAAACTGTGGACAACAACCCAACAGGAATGAGACAATTTTACTGGCCACTTAAGACTATGAGATGTGGCCTGGCAAAAACTGTGTCACAGGTACCCTGTGTTAGGTCCAGGCCGACTCTGGGGCCCATCCATCTCCCTACCCAATGGGTACCGGGGGCTCTTTATCCGGGGGTAAAGGGAATTCCAAGCAGCACTCAACAGCATTAAGGAAAATTACTTCCACGGTGCTTTTGAGGCATGGAAAAACCGATGGGATCACTGTATATGTTCCCAAGGAGAATATTTTGAAGATGGCAGCCAAAATTGAATAAGCTAAACCAGGATTTGTTTTTTGTTTTTTTTTTTTACCTTGTCTGGGAACTTTCCTATACACCTTGTATGTGAGTTCAACAGACTTGATTTCATTTTAATGGCATCAACGAATTTACACGGATTTCGATTAACATTATTCGCATTAATGAGAATTGCTTGCTGCCCAATCGAGAGAGGCAAGGAGAGGAGGAGAGAAAAGTATTGCGTGCATTTTTTTTTCCTTGGCACTACAGCCCCAATGGCCCTAGGCCTACCTCCATGAACTTCTCCGTTCACTTCGGTTTTTCTAGATCTTACACATACGGTAGGTCTCCTTGGGCGAGTGATCAGCTCGTCGCAAGGCCCCTACCTGTACACAAACACAGAAAAACGCACACAAACATCCATGCCCTGAGTGGGATTCGAACCCACGATCCCGGCTTCCGAGCGAGCGAAGACAGTGCATGCCTTAGACGCTCGCCTACCGTGACCGGCATTGTGTGCATTTGGGGAGGAAGAATTCTAGGGGAGAAGGAAAAGTTTTGTTCAAGGACACAACTGTAGCATAAATCGAGGAGCTGAGTATTGCAGCAGTTGGCACTCCTGCTTCATGTTCGAACATCAGTCAGTTCGTCTTGAAGTCAGCCCCTTGAGACCCACGACCAGATATATTTTCAACTTAAATCTGCTGTAATAGTCCTTATGTTACATCTTCTCTGACGAGAAGTCGGGTTTGTCTCTTATGACTACGTCTGGCCTTTCGTCAAGACGTCAACACTGACTCCTCGAGTCTGAGTCGTATATTGCGACCAACAGTCAGTCGGATATTCTGTCTCGGAATAAGGCACCCATCTGAGGTTTATGACCAGATTTTTATTACTGTCAAACAGTTGTGGGTTTGTTGACGTGGGCGCTCTCTCTGATGAGAGGATGGGTCTGTCGTTTACAATTGCTGCTGGTCCTTGTCAGCGCAGTCATTCTCGGGTCCTCGAAGTCAAAGTCAAATGTCACATTGCGATTGACGGTCAGTCAGTAAGTCTTGGTGTCGAGCCCCATCTGGGGGTCATGACCAGGTATTTATTACTGTCTGGCGGCTACGGTCTTGTGTTTGTTGACGAGAAGACGGGTGTCTTTTGTATATGCTATTGTTCCTTGCCAGTGTGCCTTGCCTTGGTGTCGAGCCCCATCTGGGGGTCATGACCAGGTATTTATTACTGTCTGGCGGCTACGGTCTTGTGTTTGTTGACGAGAAGACGGGTGTCTTTTGTATATGCTATTGTTCCTTGCCAGTAGTCTTTCTAGGGTCCGAGTATCCTTGGGACTCGCAACCATATTTTGCTATCTCAGATTTGAGTCTTCCCTTTTCGTCGCCTCATACGACTGGCGGGTCACGGTAGAGGTATTCGACCCCGCTTCCACACGGAGACTGCCCTCGGGTCCTCGGTTATTCCGGAACCTGTTATAATTCCTCGGCACGGACCACAGAGAAAAACTCTTCAATTCTTGTATTACAAGGCAATTGCCTAGCATCGAGTTATACGAAGTATTCCCTATTGATGCATGTATTCGTTGCTGCGAGAATGTTTACGGGGTTGTTGCTTAGCAATGACGACATTCCTCAATTATTATAGGAAACGGCCCAACGTCACAATACTATTTCTCATTCAACTTTACACTGTATAAAATCTGGAATCAATATCGCAACACTAAATTCTGAAACTGCTCTCCCACCTAACCCACTCCTAACAGGGGGCGTTGCATTTAAGATTGACTCTCCTTGGTAACGATGCCTGGACGCAGCACACTTTAAACTTGCTGACATGGCTTCGATAACACATTACGACAGCAAGCATTCAACAAAACCTCGTCACTGGAACATATCTTCTTCAGTTTACTTACCCGGTCACTAGAAATAGTAGTTCTTTCCTTACCTACCGAAAACACCATAATTAGTTAAAAAAAACTTACTAACACGAAATATTTCACTGTGTCCTGCACAACGACATATCAAGCACGTACATTATCTCGTTCAGCGGAGTCCGTTAATGCTCCAAGGCCAAGCAAAGTAATATGCTGCCGGCATCACGTGATTAAACTAATAACTGTTGCCACCATCGCATGATTGCAGATAAACGCTGACGCTAACAAAACTTTTTATTTTTCTCCAACGATTCTTTCTAAGCGATAATAAAATAAATAAGGGATTTTTAAGATAAGAAATCGATATATCACTACCGTAAACATGTCTGAAGCAATCTGCTTTCCACTGACATCTCTTGTCTACAGGCGGGATAAGTGAATTATTCTTTTGCTAATAAGATATGACTGTCTAACTCCATGGGCCACAGCTCTTGAAAAAGTCAAACAATTTCACGCCTCCTAGAAAATTCCATGATTAATTATTACGTTCACAAGGGCCCAGCACTGCCTCCTGTCCTGAGCCCAGTGAATCCAGTCCACGCCTTCAAAGACTCTTTTTCTAACAATTTAACGCCGTGCAGACCGTACAAAGTCAACTGACGTTTCGGGGAAACATGTCGCCTCCATTTTCTGAGTCGCAGAATAAGTTAAGCCAGAAACCAGAATGAAGCAGGTAGCAATCATGCAGGTTTCTCATTTCGCTTATTCTTCGAACCTGAAGATGAACACCGGTTGACTTTACGGACTACAAGGCGTTATATCCCACAAGACAGATCTCTTAATGCCCATTTCTGTGGGAATCTCAAGTCTACATAGTTTTATTACATCTTTCATGCATTTCTTCTTTCCAGAAAACCATCCTAATACGTAATATTTTGTGGTAAATGTAAGTTATGAAGCTCTTCATTATGAGTTTACTCCATCCTTCTATTAGTTCCTTTCTCGTAAATAAAATGTTTTGTTCGGCACTTTCTTCCCCGGTATCCTCCATTCATTTTGTTCCCTTAGGTAAAGCAACAGTCAACACTACATTTTCGTGTATGTTAGTCTTAACGTTTATCGATAGTAAACATTACCCGAAATCAATCTTCTCTTAACTTCCGCATACATTTAATTATTTGTCAATGTTCTTCTTAAATATTTGATCTCTGCTACATTTTCGAACAACTCAAAATTAAAACACAGAGATACTGGGTTTTCGGACTTTGTCCATCGTCCAGATTCTAAATAAGTAAGAAAAAGCACAACGTTTCGGAAACTGGATCCGTTTCCGTCCTCAGGTGAGGGAAGACACCTACTCTGTTGGGTCCCTTAGAAAGAGCTAGCCTCAATCACTGGCCAATCACTGATGGAAGCTAGCTCCTCACTTGAGGATGGAAACAGATCCAGTTTCCGAAACGTTGTGTTTTTTCTTACTTATTTACAATCCGGACGATGGACAAAGTCCGAAAATCCAGTATCTCTGTGTGTTATACACCATCGTCAGAACCCTATAGTATAAAAATTAAAAAGTTATTTTTACACATATGGACCAACACAAACCGGAAAAGCTATCGAAATCTCCACAGAACTATTGGAATGTAAAAGTAAAGAAAAGTAATGTTACCCCTGTGCGTAATGGGGGGGGGGGTGTGCATGTATAAATTCTCATTTTCTCGACATCGGCACTGGTTTCAGGCGAGTTCTCAGCTTCACGCTCCGGTCGCTTTACCCCGGGGGGGGCCGGTACCCAATGGATAGGAGGCTTGGTGGAACGCCGGTGTGGACGACGTGGAGAAAATTTTTTACCCTACCGGGACTTGAACCCCGACTGCTCGTTCGTCCAGCCCGTAGCTAGTCACTGCACCGACTGAGCTATCCCGGCTCCCTATTTCTTTTAAGGATAAAAAGTTATAACCATTCCGTTTAAGTTTAGGTTCCCCTATGTTTCTTCCCTTCAAGTCTTACAACCACAATTAACTCAGTAAACTGACTGGCTTCGGGCAAGGCAAGACCAAGTACGACTATGTTTCTCTTCGTCACAATCTTCCTATGGATACCAGGGGCTAAGAGGCCGGAGCGTGACGCCGAACACTCCCCTTCATCTAATCCTTAATTACGCTTACGAATAAGTTTTCCATATTAAGTAAAGACCTAGGTGGTACTGTCACAACACATCACATCACTCTCACTGCAAGCTTATTTCAACAGCTGTACCGACTGTGTCATGACTCCTACGTGACGTCAAACAATACAAGAATCGTGTTTATCTCCCACTCCATTTCCTGTAAGCTATGCAGGAAACTTTTGTTACAAGGGCGAGGAACACCAAGGAAACTGGCAATACTACACACTCGATACTGACGTCATTAAATAACTTAAAAAACATGTGTAAACACTTATCAAATCCCATATTTAAAGATATTCATCAATGGCTCTACGGCCCTTTGTTACGCCCTGGCCTCTTTATCAATTTCGTAATCTTTCTT